TTTTGTCTGTAACTCACTATCATTTGTCTATTTGTTTTCCTGAGAAACGATCTTATAGATAACAATATGTAAAACAATAACCATTGATAATTTCCTACCACTTTGTCTGTAATTTGGTAAGCCCCTCCTATTATTATGTTATCCTTCTTTTACTCTTTAAAATTAAAAAAAAAAGAAAGAAAGAAACTGTTACTGACAGGCTGGAGAGAAGATGAGATTCACATTCTTAAAAGTAGGGCTTTGGTTCTTTTCTGCCTGTGCTTGCTGTGCTCAGGGAGCCCGAGACCCCAACAGCCAGGGGCGCCAAGGCATGTAGTATGTGTGGAGCATTAACCCCTTCCCCTTGCACAGAATTAGCTGGAGCGGAGGGCAGGCAGGGGACACGAGCCCCACTGGGAAGGCAGCTGGAAATTTCAGTAGCATTGAGCAACATGGTCAATGCAGGCCCTGCAAGTGCAAGAGGGACGGGTGTTGCTCCTCCCCCGGCTTCTGTGGAACAAGCCTGAAGAACTGATGCAGAGAGACTGTCCGAAGCCGCTAGGCTGAGCAGGCCGGTGTGGAGCCTGCGCTGCCTGATGGCGGTTCATGGAGGTGCAGTGAAGTCTGCAGTCCCAGGAGGGGTGGGTGATGTCGCAGCCTGTCTGTGTGTGCACCTGCTGAACGCAAGCCTGTGAGGCCGAGGCGAGTCCCGGCCATGCAGCTGCCCCCGCTTGTGCCCGTCCGCTGTCTGTAACAAGACCCTTTATTGATGGTTTCAATTTCGTTTTTATTATTGTGACTATTTGCTTTTCAGAATTGGGAGAAGTATGCCCTGCTCTCCTGCTCCCAGCCTGCCAACCATGAGGCAGCCCTCCGGCGGGAGGAGGAAAAGCTGCCCATCCTGCACATGTGAGTAATTACACCTCGCACAGCTCCATGCAGTAGACTCATAGCTCCTCAGATCTGCCTGCCTCTCCAGGAGGAAACCTGTTCACCTCTTCTTCACACCCAAATGGACGGCAGGTTCCCACCTCTGCCAAGTTAGTGCTTCCACAAAATCCGGGTTCATAAAGAATCTTTTCACCAGGCGTGGTGTTACACGCCTGTAATCCCAGCACTCGGGAGGCTGAGGCAAGAGGATCGTTGTGAGTTCAAGACCAGCCTGGGCTACAAAGTGAGCTCAAGGCCGGCCTCAACTGCATAGCAAGATCCTGTCTCAAAAAGACCAAAAAAAACAAAACAAAACAAAAAAAACAGAACGAAACATAAAGTATCTTTTCTCTTGGTTGTCTTGGGCCCCCCCATACCCTGGTCTTTCCATGTCCTGACCTGACCCACTTCTCCAGTGATGCTTCAGAGTGGGGTGCCTGGTTGTCATGGTCACCAGGCCAGCATCCTGGTTCCGCCCCTCATGCACACAGCTCCCCAGAGAAGCCTCAGCCTGTCCCCACCTCCCCCAGAGCCTGTCCTGGCGTCTCCAGCCCTTCCGTCCGCCCGTCACCTTCCCCCGGCTGCAGGGCCGTGGGCCAGCGTCTCAGAGGGGTGCTCCCTGAAAAGGACCAACTGAGTGTGGTTTTGGGTCAGCCATTCTCTGGTCACCTGCAGGGGAAGCCTGCGCGTCCGGGAGCAGCTGCTGTCTCCCTGTAAGGTCTCAGAGGCCCCTCTTGAATAAGCACCTCTGCAGAGAGGCCGTGGCTACCCCTGTGAGGGTGCCCAGCAGTAGTGGCTAAGGGGCAGATCTGGGGGTACCCCCTCCCAAAGGGCAGCTGCAGGCACCCTGCCCCTGGAGGACTCCTCCGCAGGCATGCTGGCCCCACCCGTCCTCCCCAGCAGTCACTGCTGCTGTGCTCCTGGGTGGTGTCATCCAGGTGTAGCAGCTACCGCAGGGCAGCCAAAGGTCCCCAGAGCCCCTGAGACCCAGCCTGACCTCCAGGGTGGAGCCAGGGGGCCACTTCTTGCTGAGCCAGCTGTTCCTCCTGGCCCTGCTTTCCACTGGGGCTCTGGCAACCCCTGTGGTCCCTGTCTCAGCCCCTTCATGGCTCCTGGCACCTGGTCCTGCTCAGGAGGCCACTCTGGGTTTCCAACCACCTCTCCTGCAAGAGGCTTGGTCCGTGGTGCGCCTCAGGAAAGAGACCAGCCTGACCTGGTTCCATCCAGCAAACCTAGCCCTCTGCTGGAGTCCCGCCCTCCCGGCAGCCTGCTTGGGCTTGCTACAAGGGGGCCAGCGGAGCGCTGGAGCAGGGCAGGCAGGACCTCCCAGAAGGCAGACCGAGAGTGCAGCTGGGGTATGCAGGGACAGCTGTGGCCCTGACCAGTCCTCCCTGGGAGCTGCCTGCCGACTGTCTCCAAACTCACAGAGGCCCTCACCCTGACCTGGGCGTGACTGTCTTCAGAGATGGACCTTTAAACGGACGGCTTAGATGCAATGGGGTCCTGGGCGTCCTGTCCATCCAACTGTGTCCTTATAAGAAAGGAAGATCAGGACACGAACACACAGGGACCGCTATGGGGGACTTGAAGAAGAGACCCCATCTGCAAGCCAAGGAGCAAGGCCTCAAGAGGAGCCAGCCCTGCGGCACCCAGCACACTGTCCTCAGATTTCGGCTCCGGATGGGGATAACGAAGAGTTCGCTATTGAAGTCCCCAGCTTCAAGGCTATTTGTCCTCCCTGCCCTTCCCAGCCCCTTGCCTGGTCTGTGCATGCTGGTGTTGGTGTGGATGCCAATGTCCAGCCCTCACAGGGCCAGGGCTGTGGGGGGGAGGTGCTGTCCCCAGGCCCCATCACTAATCTGGTGTCCCCGCCCTGGGAGAGATGCCCCTGGAGCAGGCATCAGTGCTGGGCGTGGCCCCATGACCTGTGACGTGCAGGGACTATGGGGTGTGGAGGCCGGTGGGGGCAACACAGCTGCCATGGACGGTGCCCTGGTGCGGCTGGGAGCTGCTGTGGCCTCTGCTCCACTTCCTGTGAAGTTGGGGCCAGCTTCCTGACTGTGTGGCTGATGCTATGACTCTTCCTGTGCCTGGGCTGGCCTCACACCTGAGGATCGATGGTCACACCTGCTCTCTCCGAGCCTGGCAGAGCAGAGGGGACAGCATGGGGATAGCATCTGCCCGAGCGGGTCAGGAGCCCAGCTGCTCTGTGAACGGCAGGTGGAGGGAGCCAGGCTGGTGGGGCCGCAGCCATTCTCCAAGCGGGGGTGACAGCCCCCTCTTCCCCTCCCCAGGAGTTGTCACCTCTCAGAGGGGCTGGTCCTAAGGTTTCAGAGTAGGCTTCACCCTCTCCCCTGGCCCTAGTGCCCATCAGAGCCTCAGTTTCCATAAAACGGGTTAATTCTCAACTGGATTGCAGGCCCAGCAGCTGGGGGAGCATTAGGAAGCTGAGTCTCGTGTGTGTGGATTAGTGGGTTGTTCTCATCGGCCAACAAAAGCCAACCTTTCTTCCAAGCCCTGATCCTGAAGAGCAATCTCCCTTCGAATCAGAGTTCCTGGTCAAGACAGGCCAGGCCGGAGACCTGCCGTGGTGACTTGGGCCTCAGTCTGACCAGCCGGCCATGCTGGCACAGGGTGCTCGAGCCCCAGGCCCCTGAGTGGGGCTGGAGGTCCCAGGGATAGAGGGCTGGGCCACCTGTATGCACTGGTGCAGGTGGGATAAGGCTGCCCCAGAGTGCCTGGCACTCTCTGCCTGGCGCTTTCGGCCTAGCCATGCTGCAGGGTGTCCAGGCCTGGGGAGCACGCACCTGACAGGAGGCTCTGGCCTATCCCAGGATACAGAGGCAGGTAATCTCACCCATGGGATTAGACATCAGGAGGTGTGTGTGCTCCCTGAGGTCTCTGGGGGAGCAGGCTGACACCCTAAGCGGCTCCAGCTGGAATGAGTGCAGGAAAGGTTTCACCATGTTGAGATGGGTCCCGCATACAGGTGCCGGTGGGGGCCCCCACTCCTTGGGGCTCCCTCCAGCTAACTCAGAGTTA